ACAGTTGTTTTCCGTGGTCTTCCGGGTCTTTTGGTGTTGATGAGCTCACCAGTGCGTTCCTTCTTTTTAAGAATGTTCCAAACAGTTGTTTTGGCCACGCCTAATGTTTTTGCTATCTCTCTGATGGTTTGTTTTGTTTTTTCAGCCTAATGATGGCTTGCTTTACTGATAGTGACAGCTCTTTGGATCTCATCTTGAGAGTTGACAGCAACAGATTCCAAATGCAAATAGCACACTTGAAATGAACTCTGGACCTTTTATCTGCTCATTGTAATTGGGATAATGAGGGAATAACACACACCTGGCCATGGAACAGCTGAGAAGCCAATTGTCCCATTACTTTTGGTCCCTTAATAAGTGGGAGGCACATATGCAAACTGTTGTAATTCCTACACCGTTCACCTGATTTGGATGTAAATACCCTCAAATTAAAGCTGACAGTCTGCAGTTAAAAGCACATCTTGTTCGTTTAATTTCAAATCCATTGTGGTGGTGTATAGAGCCAAAAATGTTAGAATTGTGTCGATGTCCCAATATTTATGGACCTGACTGTATATATGTGTGCTGATTTATACTTATTCAATTTACACAGTGGTTTACGCATATACAGTATATTGTACATTCACATCAGTCCCTGCCCTCAAGGAGCTTACAGTCTAAGGTCCCTAACTCACATTCATACATACAGTACATATAATAGAGCCAATTTAGACAGGATCCAATTAACCTACCAGCATGTCTTTTTGGCATGTGGGAGAAAAACCACGCAGGAACAGGGAAAAACATGCAAACTCCAAGCAGGTAGGGCTGCTGTTGGGATTTGAACCGACAACCCTAGTGTTGCTAGGTGAGAGTACTAACCACTACATCACTGTGCTGCTAAATAAAATGTCTGTTGAGATGGCATGAGACATGACTGGAGCTTGGCAAAGACTGCAAACTGGACAATTTCTTCAATAGAAACACTACTGAATTCTCGAGGGAAAGCACTAATACGTTTCTTAGCCCCAGTTTGTTCTCTGGGTCAGGTACTGTAGACTAGATAAGTACACTGTTCACTTTGAACCTATCATACACTGATTAGTATACTTCCTTGCACTCTCATAAGGCAACAGAACATTGATCTAAAATAACATTGAAAGTTTTACATCTGAATTTTTCTCTGAGAGAAAAAAATATGTCCTCTGAGACTGATGTTGGATTTGCATCATATCGCTTGTTTCCCTTTGTTGACCTGCCAGTAGTAGATTTGCAGTCTGCATTGCCACAGAGGATCCTGGCATTCAGTTCATACCTATCTCAAAGTGATTCCAGAAACTTTTCTAGAGAATCAATTAGATCCATCAGCTTTTTCAGGTCAGCGTCAACACCTTGGAACGCTTTACTTGTACTGTTGAACTGTACAAGAATTATGTTTCAAATCTTAGCTGAGCTTCATGCCTTGCTTCATGTGTTTGTTCCAAGTCACAAAATCTCTGACAGTATTTCAAAAAGTGTTGTATCCATCTATATGGGCTTCAGTAGCATCAGCTGACCAACAAATGTCCGAAGAGACTTCCCAATTAGGCCTCTTTCCTTTCAAATACTTCATTAGATTTGCCCATCTGTTTGTTGGCCTGCATTTCTGAGCAATGACCATACATATTACTGGCATTGTCATAGGACTGCCCTCTGCAGTCTTCAGAATTAATGCCTTCTTTTTCTAGAAATTCTACCAGTACTTCAGCCATGTGAGAGCCAATCTGCTGGAAAGTTAGAAATCTTCTACCAACTTCCCAGAAACAACCTGTCACACAATGACTACTAGCCTGATGCCCATATACACTTTGTTAATTTTTTAAATAATAACAGCTAATTTTATAATTTCACTTTTCTTTAAATAGAGGGTGTCTGGTTCTGGGGAGCGAGGGTAGCGGCCCTCTGAGGGGGGCAATTGCCCCTTTATAAATTCGGCACTGTACCCCAGTGAAATTTGTGCTGCAGCACACTGCAATGCATGGTAATATGCTACCATGCATACATTCAAGACCCCACTTCAGGCAAAATGATATATATAATATTGCATTGTGCATCAATTACCTTTATCCTCAGTTTTTATTCAAAACACCTCTATTTAAGCCATCCTGCAATGTAATGGATCAAAGTCACAGTTAAGCCAAGCTAATTTCTGGTGACCGGGATATTTTTTCCCTCTCATTATATTTTTGAGCACTGGTCCCCTCACCTTGTGAGTTCTCCTGCCTCTGGAGCCCATTAGAGAAGACTTGTTTGTTGGAAGTGTCCTCTCAACCAATAGCAGATGTCTACATCATGTAGGCAGTGATAAGATCACCCAAAGAAGGTCCCCAGAAGTAAACAGAAGAGGGCAACATGGCAGTGGCTTCAGGTGAGTAAAATGAGCATTTGGACAGAATTTTTTTCAAACCAGATGTTGGAGTTGGGCTTTAAATGGTACCCCAATGAACCCTGTGGTGGAGCACCCAACAATAGTGTGCTACCTTGCTACATGCATTGCAAGGCATGGTATCATGTTGGCATGCTTTTTGGTGCACTGAGTTGAAAATAACATGCAGGTACCTTTTTTTCCTCCCTGGTGCATTGACAGCCCGTTCAGACATGTGATAATGTTTGTGCAATGCACCAGAGTGGCCAGGTGTAGAGCAAAAAGATCTTTATATATATATATATATCAGGCCCAACTGGAAAAGGGTCTTTTGGAGGGGACTAGGGGCCAGCCTCTACCCACTGATTATGGGCCATGGAGGAAACCTGGGATTTTGTCTGTTTCTCCCAGCCAGACCATGGAAAAGAGCTCAGTTCAGCCTCTGATCCCATGTAGAGAACAGATCATTCTCTAATGATGGACAACAACGTGATGAACACTGAGAGCGAGGCTTGGATTTATTCTCTGAATAAAGACAATAAATCTTCCCTTCTGGAGTGGATGGAAAGGTGTAATATGTAATATAATCTTGTACAGGTTAATGGTCAGAGTAAATATGGTGGTCCTCTTGCAGACTGGGTTGGAGAAACTCCTCCACTTGAGACAGAAATATTTACCAGCAATCTCGCTCAAGAAATCTATGAACATAAATTAATTACACTTTATCAGACTGCTGGAACATTGTATGAGTCTTGTCTTATGATGACGTTTCTAGTGGACAGATTGCACATGTGAAAGCCAAACACCTGAAAGACAGCATGTGTAATATACTTTGTGTATCCAGGGCTTTGAACTTGTTGCCAGACTGTCTGGGGTGGGCTCCCTGACTAAAGTCTGGAATACACGATCAGAAAATCGTACGAACAATACCACTTTCAAAGCAATTGTACGATAATCTGATTGTTAGTACACAGCTTTCGTCCGAAATTATTTGAAGGGACAAGCAGGACAACATTTCTTGTACGATACCAGATTTTACGATTTTCATCTAAGCAGTACAGTTTTTGTACGAAAATACATCACTTCTGAATTTTTATTCTGTCATACAAGAATTTACGGAACTTGAGTAACCTCTTCATTTTTGATATGGAGACTAGCATGGAAAAAAAAATGGACAATCATTTGTCCGATATTCTCATCATGCGTTTAATCAAAGCTGTCCTAGGTGCCTGGCTGTTGATTAGCTTATTGCTAATTAGATCATTGTATAATTAGGTTACTGTTAGTTGCTATCTGTTCATTAGATGCACTGTTAGGTGTACTGATATTACTGTTTAACCCCTTTGGCCGACAGTACACGAATATGTGGCCTCTTGGTGGGTAGGCCTTGACGCTGAGAGGCCTCATATTTGTGTACCCAAATGCAAACAAGCATGCTGAGAGTGCGCGCCCTGCGCGCTCCCAGAACAGTTACCTGCGCCTGACAGAAAGCTCCCAGTCGCTCCTTGTGATCGGGAGCTTTCTGATCATGTGACCACTGTGACAGCCAATCATGGCAAGTGTACAATCCAAACGCACACGTTCCTGCATTAAAAATGGCTGTGTGTATAAGTGGGTGCTGCAGCGACCATCGGCTGGAACCGAACAGAATTAGCAAGGGAAAATGTCATCAGCACACTGAGGATCACCAATATGGGTCCAAAAGTTTTAATGAACGATCACATAGTTACAGCAAGGCAACGTTTCGGAGTCTCGCAGGACCCCTTCATCAGGCATGTGACAAAAAAGTATAGGGCACTTATGAGGCACTATTGGGCACTGAAGAGGCAGTGATGTGCACTGTAGGGCACAGTACAGAAGAAATACTCACCGTGTAGCAAAGGAAGAAAGAGCCTCCCCAGGCACGACCCTGCTTTATTAAAAAGTGATCGCTCGCCCATTGGACAGAACGATCACGAGATAAAGAGCCACTGTGATTGGCCCTTTACCTCTATCTGTGATGCACTGTGTCCAAGGGACACAGCGATCACCTACACTTCTTAATGCGTGCCGCCAGGGGGCGCGCAGGAAGTGATCACGGGAGGATGTCATATGACGCCCCCCCAGAACTAGCCATACAGTTATTACCCTCTTAAAGTTTATATTGTTCACAATAATGTGATCAAGCTGTTATCTGATTTTGTGTGGTATAAATACTTTGTGAATTTTTAGTAAAAAAGGTTCATGATTGTGGACTTCGGCTATTTGACTGGCCGAGCCGAGATGACATCATTCCTGCGCATATGCACTGGAGTCTTGACCATGGCAAGGCTCTTAATGGACAACACGCTGTCCATTGTGAGTGCAGTGTGCCGGTGATGTCACTGGCTTCTACTATAGAACATGTATCCTAAATGGTGCACGTTTAGGAGATATTTACTGTACCTACAGGTAAGCCATGATTTAGGCTAACCTGTAGGTACAACTAAGCAGATAAGCTTCACTACCACTTTACCGCTGCCCTATAGCAGAAATACTGCTATAGGGCGGCAGGGGTGCGCAAAATCTCATATATATATATATATATATATATACACGTGATTCTGCATTTCCAGGTAGGGGGCACATGCGAGCTGCACAAGCACCCTACACACGCGCCACCATTACTCGCTGGCACCCGGTGATCGCCGAGTAATACGGACGGGAAGAGAGAACTGTATTTAAACAATACAGTTCTCTCCCCTGTTGGCTCCTGCACACTGCTTTGTATGGCTGTGCATAGCAGAGCCATACAAAGCAGTGTACTTACAGTGGAAAGCACACACACAGCCCCATAAAAAAACCACACACAGCACACAGTTAACCCTTTGATCAACCCAGATGTTAACCCCTTCCTGCCCAGTGCCATTAGTACAGTGTCAGTGCTTTTTATTAGCACTGATCACTGTATTGGCGTCATTGAGGATTTCAGTGACACCAACTCAGCTCCCCCCAGTTTCAGAATGCCGGCCGCAGTCCCGCTATAAATCACTGATCACTGCCATTACTAGTAGAAAAAAAAATCCAGTATATATACACCGCCATTTGTAAATGATCTAACTTTCACGTAAACCAATTAATTTACACGTATTTGGATTTTTTTTTAGCAAAGACCTGGAGCAGAATATATTTTGGCTTCAATTTATGATGACATTTGATTTTTTTTTACAGTGCAAAAAATAAAAAACAAATACCACCAAAAGAAAGCTCTATTTGTGGAAAAAAAGGACGTAAATTTAATTTGGGTGCAGCGTTACATGACCACACAATTGTCAGTTAAAGTATTGCAGCGTTGTAACACAAAAAATGGCCTGGTCAGAAAGGGGGGTAAATCCTCTGGAGGACAAGTGGGCAAGTAGTATAGGGGGTTGTTAATCAGTTTCAGCTGACCCTACAGAGGTTGCATAGGAAGTCCAACTCCTCCAGGATAACACATCAATATGTGCCATTGTCAGAAGGTTTGCTGAGTGTCCCAGCACAGTCCCAAGAGCATGGAGGAGATAACAGGAGACAGGCAGTTCCTCCAGGAGAGCTGGACAGGGCCGTAGAAGGTCCTTAACCCATCAGGAGGACCGGTATCCTTGTTGTTCCTTTGTGCAAGGAGGAACAGGATAAGCATTGCCAAAGCCCTACAAAATGACCTCCAGCAGGCCACTGGTGTGAATGTCTCTGATCAAACAATCAGAAACAGACTTCATGAGGGTAGCCTGAGGGCCCCCGACGTCCTCTAATGGGCCCTGTGCTCACTGCCCGGCACCACAGAGCTCAATTGGCACGTGCCCTTGAACACCAGAATTGGCAGGTCCGCCACTGCCACCCTGTGCTTTTCACAGATGAGAGCAGGTTCACCCTGAGCACGTGATAGACATGAAAGGGAGAACATTATGTTGCCTGTAACATTGTTCAGCATGACCGTTTTGGTGGTGGGTCAGTGATGGTCTGGGGAGACATATCTATGGAGGGACGCACAGACCTCTACAGGATAGACAATGGCACCCTGACTGCCATTAGGTATCAGGATGAAATCCTTGGACCCATTGTCAGATCCTACGCTGGTGCAGTGGGTCCTGGGTTCCTCCTGGTGCACGACAAGGCCGGCCTCATGTGGTGAGAGTATGCAGGCAGTTCCTGGAAGATGAAGTTATTGATACCACTGAATGGCTCCCACGCTCGCCTGACCTAAATCCAATAGAACAACTCTAGGATATCATGTTCCAGTCTATCTGACACACCGCCAGGTTGTACCTCAGACTGTCCAGGAGCTGTGATGCCCTGGTCCAGATCTGGGAGGAAATACCCCAGGACACCATCTGTCGTCTCATTAGGCGCATGCCCTGATGTTGTCAGGCATACATACAAGCCTGTGGGGATCATACAAACTACTGAGTACCGTTTTGAGTTGCTGCAATGACATTTCAGTAAAATGGACTAGCCTGCTGCATCGTTTTATCACTTTGGTTTTCAGGGTGTCTTTGAATTCAGTCCTCTGTAGGTTGACAATTTCCATCAAATGATGGGGCATGAGTTCCTAACACCTTACCCAGCCCATATCAGTATAGATATTCAGCATGATATCTTCCCCATTGCGATCTGATGTGTTCTTTTAATTTTTTGGAGCAGTATACAAGGGAGAATTATTTTGTTTCCTAGAGTTCAGCTTGAACTCTGACTTCACTTGCTGCTTGCTTTTTCCAGTCACTGACGTCCTAAAGCCGGACCCACACACTCTGATGTGGTTCCTCATCCTCCCTGATCCCTGAACACAGGACCTCTTCTAGGCCAGGCTAGGCTGGGACTCAGTGGTGACGTGGAGCGCGCGCCCGATCAGGTGGAAGGAACAGATGACGGGCACGCCCCCGTCCGGACAGTGAGAGTCGGCGGGCACGCGCCTGTGCTCTAGCTGTGGCTGTCTGACGTGGCAGAGCTCGCTCCCCTCTGCCTGCTGCTGCCTGTGCCGCCGGCTCCGCTACAACTTCCATAGAAGTAGACCGGGGAGCGCAGGGACGTCACTGCCGGACAGGTAAGCCCTATAGACACACAGATAATGGGGGGGCAGGGATGGCAAAGGTGAGAGCGAGCAGACGTGTCACTAGAGGAACATGGGGTGACAGCTCTGCTTCTGATGGCTCACAGCTTCACATGTGTGTTCTAGACATGACATGTACTATACATTACATCTCACGTGTGTACTACACATTACATCTCATGTGTTCTATTCATGACATCACATGTGTGTTCTAGGTATGACATCACATGTGTTATATACATAACATTACATGTGTGTTCTAGACATGACATGTACTATACATTACATCTCATGTGTGTACATACATTACATCTCATGTGTGTACTATACTTTACATCTCATGTGTTCTATTCATGACATCACATGTGTGTTCTAGGTGTACTATGACATCACATGTGTTATTTACATAACATTACATGTGTGTTCTAGACATGACATGTACTATACATTACATCTCATGTGTGTACTATACATTACATCTCATGTGTTCTATTCATGACATCACATGTGTGTTCTAGGTATGACATCACATGTGTTATATACATAACATCACATGTGTGTTCTAGACATGACATCACATGTACTATTCATGACATCACACGTGTGTTCTATACATGACATTACAAGTGTGTTCTAGACATGACATGACATATACTATATATGACATCTCGTGTGTTTCTAGACATTACATTACATGTACTATACTTGACATCTCATGCGTGTTCTATACATGACATCACATGTACTATACCTGACATCTCATGTGTGGTCTATACATGACATCACATGTGTGTTCTAGGTATGACATCACGTGTTTTCTATACATGACATTACATGTGTATTCTAGACATGACATCACATTTACTATACATGACATATCATGTGTGTTCTAGACATGACATGACATGTACCATACATGACATCACATGTGTGTTCTATTCATGACATCATGTGTTCTAGACATGGCATCACATGTACTTACGTGACATCTCATGTGTGTTCTATACATGACATCTCATGTATTATACATGACATCATATGTATGTTCTATACATGACATCTCATGTACTGTACATGACATCTCATGTGTGTTCTATACATGACATCTCGTGTGTTCTATACATGACATCTCATGTGTGTTCTATACATGAGATCACATGTGTGTTCTATACATACATCATCATCTCATACAATTACATGACATCACATGTATGTTCTAGACATGTCATCACGTGTGTTCTATACATGACATCTTATGTACTATACATGACATCACGTGTATTCTATATATGACATCTCATGTACATGACATCACGTTTGTTTAATACATGACATCTCATGTACTATACATGACATCACATGTGTGTTCTATAAATGACACCTCATGTATGTCACATGACACCTGTTTATATACAGGAGAGATCAGCCACATGTGGAGCTCATTCTACACAGAGAACAGTGCATGAGTGACCCCATCCTCCATCACTGGCTTATGATGGACATACACAGGACAAAGAATCAGACAATATGATCGGATCTACCAATTATCCAAAAGACGCACCCTGTGTCTTCAATCAGTCTCATCAAAACTTTTCTAATTGGAAAATCCGATCATAGGAAAGTAAATATTTTGATGCAATCATTAGGTGTTTGGCACGTGCAGCAACTCTTTAGGATCTTCCAATTATATTTCCAATCAGCTGGTAAACCAATCGAAAATATGATTGTATAAAAAAATGGTTCTGTGTATGGCCACCATTTCCCAGGGTTGTGAAGATGGCTCTTTTATCATGCCTGTTGGTGGCCTGTCATGAAAAGACTGTCCCTGGGTTTCAGAAGGACAGGCACAGACAGATTTTGGGAATGCATTCTAAAAGTGGCACGATGTGCACCAAATTCCTGTACTGTCTACTGCTTGAATCTAGCACCGGCTGCGCCACTCTGAGAACGCATTCTGTCCCTGTACGCCCAGAGAAAGGTGGTCTTCATTACTTTCTACTGCTTTCTTACTTTGGTCTACTTTCATAAGATTTGAACTGTCGGTGTTTTATAGAATTTGGTGCAGGTGTTACCACATGGTAGAGGTGGAGCCAATTAGGACTACCTATGGCTCACGAGTCGCTGTCAGAACCAAAGCTGATGATTTTTTACATTTGAACACATTACCAAGAGCAATTAACACCAGAAATGAGGCGCAGCTTTTATTGAATTATTGCATGTATTGAATGTTATGGATATATGGTTAGGTCTGGTTCACAGCTATGCGTGTTGTGATTGATGCGTTTTTCTTCTGCGTTTGTTATGCATTTTTCATTTATTTTTGCTAATAGGAAAGTATGGAGTGCAACTTTACACTCTCTGGCACTCAAAGTTGCATCAAAGTAGTGCAGTAAACTTTTCAAATTCGCATAGACTTTGTAAAGGTTTCTGCACTACTTTGATGTGACTTTACACTCTCTGGCAATCAAAGTGGCATCGAAATAGTGCAGGAACCTTTTCAAAGTCGCTGCAACATTGGAAATGTTCCTGCACTACTTTGATGCGAGTTTACACTCTCTGGCACTGAATGTTGCATCAAATAGTGCAGGAACCTGTTTAAAGTCGCTGTGACTTTGGAAATGTTCCTGAACTACTTTGATGCGAGTTTACACTCTCTGGCACTGAAAGTTGCATCAAAGTAGTGCAGGAACCTGTTTAAAGTCGCTGTGACTTTAAAAATGTTCCTGCACCACTTTGATGCGAGTTTACACTCTCTGGCACTGAAAGTTGCATCAGAGTAGCGCAGGAAACTTTTCAAATTTGCAGAGACTTTGCAAATGTTCCTGCACTACTTTGATGTGACTTTACACTCTCTGGCTCTGAAAGTTGCATCAAAGTAGTGCACAAACCTGTTTAAAGTCGCTGTGACTTTGAAAATGTTCCTGCACCACTTTGATGTGAGTTTATACTCTCTGGCACTGAAAGTTGC